ACCCACCCACACCCACACCCACACCCCAAAATTCAACATTATTTTCGAGTGACAATATTTTCGATAGGCAATCCATACCCATTAAAAGAAGTTGATTCAACATTTTGTACAAATTTAAAACAATGTGCTTGGATACGGACTAAATGCATCGAATACGTGTATGATGCACAAACAGAAAAAATAAATAAAAATGAAACAATTAAATTGAAACAACCTTCAAATGTCGTCGTTCAAAAGTCTGATAGTCATACGAATGCGTTTATTCACTATTTTCCACATATTGACAATATAAAGCTGAATTCAGACTTGATGTTGAAGCTCAATATAAATAATAGAATCGAACCTCAGGATATAATTGTACGATTATTAGAATATATAAATGATTGGTCATACACAGCATTATCAAACATTGATATATGTCGTATGAATGAAGATGATAAAAAGCAAAGAATCAATATTCTCTTAGATAATCCACCTCGATCAAGTTTCCGACGGACATTTATTGAAAGCATATCAACTATAAGCCGTTTATACGGATTTCTTCATGATGAATTAGATGGTGATGAGCGATATTTGAAATGGCCGCTTGTTTTTATACCTGAGTCGCCTCCATCAGAAAATACTGATTTATGTGTCGGTCGATTTTTATTTATTAACGAGGTAGCATGGGATGATCCAACACATTTATTGTCAGAACCCATTCTTATCAAACGATTGTATCCAAATTTAGAAAACTTTTTCAGATATGTTTTAAAAATCCCATTGATACCAAGTTCTGAATGCTACTTAAAAATATTAGAAGAGATTTCAAAAACGAGTGTAACCGATCAACTAGCAGAAAATGCTTGGCAAGTGTTCGAAAACTTATATAAAAATGATTATGATAATATTCTTCGTAAGAATTCAATAGCATAAACATAGTAACACAAAAATCAAGAATTCGATTTTATCTTTTTCCCTCTTAGAATTATTTCGACATCGGTCTCTTATACCAAGTATGACTAAATATGGATGGATGAAACCTGATGATGAGCTATACGTTCCTGATGACAAAATTGTAGCACAATTATTTGAATCAGAACGATTGCCAATTATTAAACTACCTGGTAAAGTCAATTTAAATTATAAAATTTTTCAATCTATTAATTATTGAATTTGTATTATTTGTCTTTCATTTAGAAAACGGTTTGACTAAAAATGGGCGAATATTTCTTGGGAACCTTCGATACATAAACTTTTCTGAGGCAGTGAAATTCAATGTAAATGTAACGAATGAAAAACTATCTGAAGATTTGAAACAATTTTATACGAAAACTTTACCATACGTTTCGAGTTATTTATATAGTGAGACAGACATGTTCGATGAATCATACGATAAGCGAAAATTAAGTGAAATATTTTCTCAAATGAAATTTTCCAATGTTGATAGTATTCAAGTGACGTACAGATACGAAAAAATGTTATTTAATTATGATTATGACTGTTATGTTGACAAAAAGTCTAAAAGATTCTATTTATTAAGCAAATATCATTATTCCTATAGTATTGATACAATGATAAAATTCATTATTGATGATACAGTTGCAGAATGTCATCATAAACGTGACAAACTGCAGAAGTATTATAAAAAGTTATTAGGCGCCTACACAAAGAACCAATTAGAACAAAATATAGTCGATGATCGTGATTCATTAAAGCCAATTTGGATAATAGATATCGACAATGGTGATGAAAGCAACGATAGCGAAGATGAAGTCAAACAAGAAGAAAATATTAATCATCAGGACTCAGACACGGATATTGTTCGTGACTCAGCACTAGCTGATAAACTGCTGAATGAAGAAAAAATTCTTATACCGAAATCTAAACAGAAGACAACCTCTCAACCTACGAATACTTCAAATTTGGATACCAATATCAACAGTACAATAAGCAAGTCCGCAGGGCAAAATAGCACTAGTAGTGATGATCAATCCAGAAATAATCAAGAAAATGACCATCATAGAAAAGGTATTTTCTTTAGTAGATCAATTTTGTTTTTCTTGTTCTATCATAACTAGCGGTACGCAAGCTCAGCTCACGAACTCCGCTCAAATGAGCGAAAGAACTGTTCGAACAGCTCATTTGAACGAGCCGAACTTTTGAAACAGCTCATTTCACATGAGCTGAACTGTTCGAACAGCTCATTTGAGCGAACCGAACTTTTGAAACAGCTCATTTTATATGAGCTGAACTTTCACAACAGCTCATTCGAACGAACTGAACTTTTTGTAGGGGTGCCCATAGGCTCTCAAGAGCTACCCTATAGGGGTGCTCATAGGTCCTTCAGGGCTACCATACAAGGGACTCATAGGTCCTCAAGTCCTGCTGTAGGGCGATACCCTTGGGTCCTCAAGTCCTACTGTAGGGCGATACTCTTGGATCCTCAAATACTACTTTAGAGTGACACCCTTGGGCAAGGGGGTAAGTGCAGACGCCTAGCACCCAGCACCTGCTCAGCACCTACCAGCACCTACTAGTACCTACCAGCACCTACCAGTACCTACCAGTACCTACCGGCACCTACCAGCACCTACAGCACCTACAGCACCTACAGCACCTGTTCAGCACCTATACTGCATTTCACTATGAGCACCTACGGCACCTTCAGCACCTGCAAACATTGTTTCATTATCTTAAGTACTTAAGACAATAGAATAGTTGTTGAAGATGCTGAAAGTGCCGTAGGTACCGTAGATGCTCACTGTGGAATGCGGTATACGTGCTGAGCAGGTGCTGGGTGCTGGGTGCTAGGTGCTGGGTGCTGGGTGCCTGCACTTTCCCCCTTGCCCTTGGGTCCTCAAGTCTTACTACTGGAAGGTACCCGAGCGGGTTCAAATTTTTCCCTTGTTATGAGGGCAAGTGATGGGTATCTTCGGGCCAATCATAGGGTTATCGAGGGTGCTCTATCGATTGATTGGTATATGTAGGAGTACCCACCCATCCCATCACTGAGAAATAGAATCCTGCCATATGATTGGTCCAAAAATAGACCAATCAGATTTCAGGAGTCATTTTTTCTCTTATTTTATGGACAACGCATAGCCATGTTCGGGCCAATCATAGGGTTATCGATGATGCTCTATCGATTGATGGGTATATGTGGGGGTCCCCACCCGTCCCATCACTGAGAAATAGGATCCTGCCATGTGATTGGTCCAAAAATAGACCAATCAGATTTCAGGAGCCATTTTTTTCTCTTATTTTATGGACAAAACGTAGCCATGTTCGAGCCGATCATAGGGTTATCGAGGATGCTCTATCGATTGATGAGTATATGTAGGGGCTCCTACCCAATGCAACACGGCGAAAATACAGCTTTGGCATTTGTCCTTGAGGACCGAAGGGTGCCCGTGAAATAGGAGTTGAGGACCCAAGGGTACCTCCCAATAATGGGACTTCAGGACCCAAGGGTAATGTAACGACAAACTGGATTGAATAGCTTTTCGCCATTCTCGGCAATGATGTTTATTCAGCTATTTCACATATCCAGAGTGTCACAACTTCATACATAATACGCATATATATAGGAGAGAGATAGAAGAGAGACAGGAGAGAGATATATTAGAACAACGGAAAGAGAACAGACAGAGAAGAAAGGAGAATCATCGAGCCGTGTCATCAATATCGGCACAGGTAACCCCAATAATAGGACTTGAGGACCCAAGGGCACCTCCCAATAATAGGACTTGAGGACCCAAGGATATCCCCCAATAATAGGACTTGAGGACCCAAGGGTACCTCCCAATAATAGGACTTGACGACCCAAGGGTATCCCCCAATAATAGGACTTGAGGACCCAAGGGTACTCCCCAATAATAGGGCTTGAGGACTCAAGGGTACCCCCAATAATAGGACTTGTGAACCCAAGGGTATCCCCCGATAATAGGACTTGAGGACATATGGGCACCCCTATAGGGTAGCCCTTGAGAACCTATGAGTCCCCTAGAAATAGTTATGTTCGTTCCAATGAGCTGTTCGAACAGTTCAGCTCATTTGAAATGAGCTGTTTCAAAAGTTCGGTTCACTCAAATGAGCTGTTCGAACAGTTCAGCTCATGTGAAATGAGCTGTTTCAAAAGTTCGGTTCGCTCAATTGAAACGAACCGTTTGAGAACGCTCAGTTCGCTCAAATGAACTGTTCGAACAGTTCAGTTCGACTCAGTGAGCGTTTTCAGCAGCTCATTATTTCTGAGCTTGAGCTGAGCTTGCGTACCCCTAATCATAACTTTAAAGTTTCTTTTAGATTGTCCCTCAGTATTTTTATCCTTTTCTCCTTATTTTAGACACTACTTCGACCTTCATACCGGAGAAACAAAATATAGTCAAATTTCAACATGTTGATCTCCATGATTTAGAGATATCGGATGAAAATGTTTTAGTAGAAAACTCTAACAAATCAGTGGATGAAGAAATTCTTAAAAGAATAGGGCGTACAGGAGAACGGTGGGTATATGAATACTTGAAAAATTCATATCGTACTAAAGATAATGTTTCTGTCAAATGGTTAAATGAAACTTGTGAAACAGGATCACCGTACGATATTGAAATTGAATTTATTGATAACCCTCAAGATACTCAACGAATTGAGGTTAAAACAACTTCAAAACATGATGACAATTGTCAGTTTTCAATATCAATACAAGAAGTTGAAGAAATATTACATTATCCTAACACCTACTACATATACCGGGTCAATTTAAGTACACGTTCGTTGATCATTATAGATGATATAAAACAGAATTTAAGCGACAAACGACAACTACAATTGCAAATGAATGTTTTAAAACTGGAAGATTTTAATGAAACATAATAATTTATTTGCAAGTAGAAATATTAACAATATGCTGTGGGGTATAAAGTGACCCTTGTAATATTTAGTTTTGCATGTATTTTAGATCAAATGGGTGTGGGTGTGGGGATGGGTGGGAG